CTCCCCTCCCCTCCCCCCAGTCCAAACCGGCACCGAAGCCAGGTGGCTTCCTCCCCCGCCCCCTGCACCACAGAGGAGGTACCTGGGATGAAGGTGACCCCCAAAGCCCCAGAGGTAGGCGAAGGCGAAGAAGCTCTGGGCCACCATGTGGTGGTGCCTGGGGACGCTCTCGTCCAGTCGGGAAGCCACGGAGGAAGGGCTGGTTCCCAGGGCGATGCTCCTGGAGACTGGAGGAACAGGCCGGCCATGAGGCCCGCCCAGCCTCCCCCCCCCCAGGCCAGCAGCTCCCCCCCCCAGCCCGGCTCACCTTTCAGCTCTTGGGCGGGGGCGCTCCTGATCTTCTCCCGGCGCAGGTACTGCTCCAGCAGCGCGTGGAGTATCCTGGCGAAGGCCGTGGTCTCCTGGACGCCCTGCCCCCCGGGGCTGCGTGGGCTGGCGTGGGGCGCCAGGACGGAGGAGCAGTGCTGCTGCTGCAGGAAAGCCAGGGTCGGGGGGAAGACGTCTTCCGCCAGCTCCTGCAGCATGGCCAGGCTCTGCTGGGTCAGGCTGTACGTCCGGCCCACGGGGCCCAGGGCGGAGGCCAGCACCCCCTGCCAGAGGCCAGAGCCGCTGCAGTGCAGGACGGCGCAGTGGGCGCAGACGGAGGGGGGCATCCCGGAGGCATCGGACATCTCGAAGAGGACCTTGAGGTTCCCGGGGGGCTGCAGCTTCTGCCCGCTGGGCAAGCTGAGGGAGGGCCGGGGGCCGAGGAGTGAGGAGACGGGCTCCAGCCACGCCGCGCTGGCCGTGCCGTCCAGCACCACCCACTGCTGGACGCCCCCCGCCCCCCCGGCCAGGGCGGAGGCGGCCGCTCTCTGCAGGAGCCGGGTGAGGACGCCGTCCTGCCAGGTCCCCTCTTCCAGGCTGCCGAGGAACTCGGGCACGCTCAGGCTGTTGGGCCAGACGCAGACGGCGCTGACCGGCACAATGGAGCTGGGAGTGCCGGCGGTCCCGTGGGCCCCGGCCTTGAGCACCAGGGCGGCAGCCTCGTTGGCAGCCAGCCTGCTCAGAGCCTTGGCCAGCACCTGCCAGGTGGTGGTCTTGCCGCTCCCCGGGGGCCCCAGCAGGAGGACGCTGCCAGCACCGCCCAGGGCCTGGAAGAGCTGGCTGGCCGTGTCGAGCAGCTGGGAGTCCGCGTGCAGCTTGTTCTCGTGGAGCTGGGCGACCAGGGCGCTCTGGAGCCGAGGCGGGGCCAGGGGCTCCGGGAGCTGCAGGGCGGCAGAGGGGAAGATGCCCCGCAGCAGGTCCCACACGTGGCGCAGCCGTGGGCACTCGGGGCCGCGGAGCAAAGGCGAGAGGCACAAGGCCTTGACGACCGCCGGCTCTTCCTCCAGCCCTAAGAAGAAAGTGGTCCTGGGGGAGGGCCGGGCCTTGGAGAGGAGGGGGTCCCCCCGGGGCCCCGGGCTGAACAGAATGTCGATGGCCCTGCCGACCACCTCCCGGAGGAGGGCCGTGCGGCTGGCCGGGGGCCCCGGGCCCAGCTCCCCCTCCAGGCACAAGAAGGCGCTCAGCTTCTCGGCCAGGCGCCGGGCCTCCCGGAAGCCGGCCGCCAGGAGACTGACCTCGGCCAGTTTGGCCAGGTCCGGGGGCAGGATGACCAGGGGGCGCAGGACCAGGCGCAAAGGCTCCGGGAGGCGCCCGAGGGTGGCCACGCAGCCGTACGTCTCCCGCACCCGCAACAGCCGCCCGCCAAAGAGGATGTGGCCCACCACCCGGGGGTGGTACGGCTCGGCCTCGTCCGTGCCCAGCTCCGGCAGAGCCACTGCCGGCTGCCCCTCGCCGTCGCTGTCAGAGTCCGCCGAGCGCTGGCTGGTGGGAGAGGTGGCACCGCCCCTCCCCTCCCGGATGTTCAGGCACAGCCTGCGGAGGTCGGCCAGGCGCTGGCTGAAGGCGGAGAGCACAGCCGGCTCCAGCCGCTCGGCCGACTCCAGGAGCAGCCAGGCCCCCGCGTGCACCGCCCCGCAGAGGTAGCGGCTCAGGCAGCGGATGGGCAGGAGCGCTGAGCAGTGCAGGGTGACCAGCTGGCGGCCGAGCGCCTGGGCCAGGCCCTGCGCGGTGTGGGACTTGCCCACGCCCTGGAGGCCCAGCAGCCCTCCGCAGCGGAAGTCCTCCAGGGCCAGGAGCAGGCCCAGGAAGGTCCGGTCGAGGCCGGGGCTGCCCAGGAGGTGCGCGCTGGGCCCCAGGTACTCGTAGTCATAAGGGAAGCAGCTGTCCAGGACCTCCGCCCAGCAGCCGGGGGGGCTGCCCACCCACCTGCCCGGGGAGACCCGGGCTGCCTTGGCCTTCTCGGCCTTCAGGGCCACGCGGTACTTAAAGTGCCGAGCCCACGCAAAGGCCCGCGGGGAGCTCACCTTCTGCTCCCGCAGCCGGGAGAGCACGTCGCGCTGCCGGATCGTGACGACCAGGAGCCCCCCCAGCAGGACCCCGAGGGCATCGCAGTCGGGCTGCCAGGCATGGACACTGCGGTAGTTGCGGAGGTAGTGGGTCAGGGCCTCCAGCTTGAGGCCCAGCTTGCGCTCCAGCCCCAGCGGGCCGCCCCCGCCGGGCTCCACGAGGGCCTCCTCCAGGTCCGCGCGCCACAGCGCCTCCTCGGCCAGCAGCACGCACTGGACAGGGAAGGCCGCGCCCAGGCTCGCCCAGTGCTCCGCCAGCAGGTGGAGGGGCAGGTCCGTGGGCCCGGGGGGCTTCTCGAAGGCCACGTCCAGCTGCGGCCGCAGGGCCAGCCGCTGGGCCAGGCAGTCCTGCAGCCGGTGGAAGAGGGTCTCCTTCATGCGCTGCTCCAGGGCACAGAGCCACTGAGTGGCCTTCGGGGTGAGGGGCACCGCCCCACACAGCCTGAGCCTCTCGCCGTGGTCCCCCACCAGCCCCGCCACCTGCAGCTCTGGCGCCTGGGCGGAGAAGGCACTGAGGGTCTGGGCGGCGGAGGGCACCGTCAGCTGCAGCTGCCGCACACCCGGGAAGCAGCGCTGGGACCAGGCGGAAGCATCCGCCGGCTCGGTGGCCGTGGCCACCATGGCCACCAGCTCCTCGTTGCTGAGGAAGAAGAGGCGGGGGAAGCCCATGCGGGTGGCCTCCAGCACGTAGGCCAGGGCCCCGATGATGCCCTGCAGCTCCCCCGAGGCCTCCGCCAGGGCCGCCTGCAAGGGCCCCCCCGCGAAGCAGCTCTCCCGGCAGGAGCCGAGCCCCGGCCTCACGCTGGAGAGCACCAGGGGGTCCTGGCACGTCACCTGCATGAGCTCCCGGAGGTGGGCGTCCACCCGCTGGAACCGAGACTCCTGCATGGGGGGGGAGAAGAGAGACCCCCGTCACCCCGGGGGCACAAGGCCCAGCCGCCGGCGTCCAAGGGGGCCGGAGGGGGGTTGGGGATGCAAGCAGAGGCTCTCTCTCACCAACTCTGCGCTGGGCAGGCTGATGTCCATCTCGTACAGCACCATGTTCAGGAACACCCACTTCTGCTGGAGGGTGACCCAGGCCTCCAGGAGGGACTCTGTCAAGCGACCCAGAGGGGAGGAGAAGAAGGAGGTTGGCGATGGCGGGGAGGGGAGGGAGGAGGAGACCGGCTGTGTCTTGCGACGGGGCAGCCATGTCAGTCTGTCACAGCAAGACGACGTCTGCCGTGGGTTGGGCTGCCCCACCGCTCACTCCCTCTCCCCCGCCTGCCCGCCCGCCCCCCCAGGTCTTGCGAGGGGCCTCCCCCACCCTTGCCCAGAGCGCCCAGGACCCTGCCCAGGCCCCCTCCCTCACCGAAGGTACGCAGCGTGGAGGTCCAGCTCACGGCTTCCTCCCGGAGTTCGGAGGAGTAGGGGGAGAGGATCATGTTCTGGAGGGTCAAGAGGCTCTGCTCCACGGTGGCCTTCAACTCCGCAGTGTCTGAGGAAGGGAGCGGGAACCAAGCCACAACAGCTTCTGTACGTGGGCACGGGCACGTGGGGGGTGGGGGGGGCACAGGCATGACTTGTGTGTGTGGGGGGGGGGGGGGGCATGTGCCAGATCGTGAATGGGGCAGGGCTGCCACTGCCATCGCCACGGATCCCGTCTCTGCCACCCCCCGGGCAAGCCACCTGGCGTGCTCCTTCTTCACGGCTTCTAGGGCCCAGGTCACTCCACTCCGCTCGGGATAGAATTCTTGATCTAACGGCCTGGAGAACTGTTTCTAATTCTCAAATACATCCGTCTTATTGCCCTTGCAAGATAATGGCCAGATTTGGGGGGGGGGGGGTTGTTTTTTTTAAAGAGATCTAAATTCAATTTCTTTTTATTGCCACTGGTTTCATTTTCTGGAATGATCATTTTAAATTCTCTTGCCAGCTGCTGGGAACTTTATGAAAAGCACAAAAGGAATATTTTAAAGCAAACAAGCACGAACCCTGCCAGGCTGGCCATGACTCTGCCCAAGAGGTACAAAGACCCCGGGGGTGGGGGGGTGGGGGGGCAACTTCTAGCACAAGACGCAGGTACCCTCCTCCTCCTCCTCCTCACCAACACTCTTGGATGGACTCTTGAATATCACGCCAGACCACCATTCATGGCTCCTGATTTTACAAACTTCTATCATATCCTCTCCCATGGAGTGCACCACTTAAAAACAGAAAACTGCCCCAATTTTTAAAGCAGAAATGGCCTTCTCACAGGAACCAAAACTAAACTCCAATGACTCCTTAAAGTTATTTCAATATTGAAATAAATGTTAGAAAAGAGCAAGAATCCAGGAGCACTTTTAATGACTAACAAAATTTTGTGGCGGGGGAGGGGCTTCTGTGAGTCACCGCTCACCTCTTCTGCTGTATCTGAAAGAAGTGAGCGCGCTCCTCCCCCCCC